AAGTAGAAATAAAAGACACAGTCCCTCACTACAGGAAGCCTCCTGCAAAAGTCAGATAATCTCAGAGATCACCTAACCCAACCTGCTTATCTAAGAAATAAGGAGCTAGAGTCTGGAGAAGTGATGTTTGTGGTGCCTCAGAACTAGAACCGAAACACTCCGCCTCCTGTCTGGGGAGATAGGACACACACATGACACAGCAATGGAAGGTTCCAGAAAGTTCAGCACAGCTGGGGTTGGTGATATAGACTTGGAGTCCCTGAGTGGCACAAACAGTTAAGTGCTCATCTACGAACTGCAGGTTGGTAGTTCGGACCCAACCAGAGGCTCCTCAGAAGAAAGGCCTGGTGATCTGTTTCTGAAAGGTCACAGCCTTTGAAAACCCTAAGGAGCAGTTCTACTCTGACACACACAGGGCCACCATAAGTCGGAACTGACTAGACAGCAACTGGTTTATGGTATCCAGACTTTGAGGCCCGTTATAATATTGGGACAATGGGCTTTGAACAAATTTCAATATCAAAGGACGATGAAAATTTGAAAAGTTAAGGAAGTCTTCCTTGGAGAGGAGGGATAAAATGGGCAGGAATAGGATATCTTATTTTGATTATATTGAAATGGATTTCCTGGAGACAAGTCTTAACAGAAGCACACTTCTGTTATCTCCAAATGCTGTACAAGAGACTTAAACACACACATACACACACACACTCAGTGACTATTAAATTTCCTACAGGTAGGAGATATGCACTTGAGTAGTCTCTTGCACTCCCCAGATGCCAGCAAAGGGCTGAGATTTTGTTGCTCAGTAACATTTGTCTGGAGGGAGAGTCTTATCTAACATAAAAAGGGCCTCAAAATGGAGAGTAGGCCCTGGCCTGCATTAAAGGGCCACCTTATTTCACATATATGACCAAAGTGTAACAAAGGTTAGTGGCCTCACAATGGAGCCCCGCCCTCCTGCTAAGCCACGCCTCCTCACAGTCACAATGGCTAAGGCCTTAAATACCCAGACTCCTGGCCTCTGGCCTTTCAAAGCCCCTCATTTTGGCAGAAATTACGATGTCGACCAGCCGCAAATTAAAGAGTCATGGCATGAGGAGGGGCAAGAACCGATCTCCCCACAAGGGGGTCAAGAGAGGTGGCAGCAAAAGAAAATACCGGAAGGGCAGTCTGAAGAGTAGAAAACGGGGCGATGATGGTGAGTGAGGGATAAGTAGAGGAGCAAGCAAACAAGATGTTTGTTGTTCCAGGCATCTTCCTTCCTGGGGTTAGTCCTCCTATGACCCTGAAATCTCATTCTGAATTTCCAGTGTTTAAATTCATCTGGGCATGAAAGGTATTGATGGGGATGTTCTAACCAGTGGTCCCTGTTGCAAATTTGTCTTTCCCCACAGCCAATCGCAATTACCGCTCCCACTTGTGATCCCACCAGCGGGCTCTGTCCTGGTGGATGTCAAATAGTGCCAGGCAACAGCGAGAAGACAGCAGAGGGGGACTGCCAAGGAGACCTGGAGTTCGATCAAAGCCAGAGAAGAGCCTATCGTGTGTGGGTAAAATGCCAGTCGTGACGAAATGAGGAATGTATATGTTGGCTGTTTCTCCCCAACATCTCAATAAAATTTTGAAAACTGGAAAGTTTACTTTGATCTTTTGGTTGGAAAGCTGGGGTTCCTGAGCTAGGCAGACTTGGGGAAGAATAAACATGGATCATTTAACATGTCTTGGAGAATATCAAAGTCATTCGTCCTTACTACTCCCTCCCATTGTACCCCAACTCCATATTTAGGTTTTTGTCTCCCTCCCCAACAAGGAAAAGGGAGAGGAGATTAAGCGCTAATCATGAGACTCTTGTCAAAGGGCATATAGCACAGGGAGAGACACCAAACTGTGTGGTAAGAGGTAGAGAATACTCAGTAGAGCCACTAATGCCATCTGATTGCATAGGCTCAACTTGCAGGCTGAGATGAGGAGACATGGCCAAGATGGTATTTGTAGGGAAACAGGACTCAATGATGGGGGTTTTAGTTCGTTTTGGTAGCTATGTTGGTTTTGGAGATATTGCCAGATATTTTTTGTTTAATCTGACTTTTTGAATATCATGGCCTATGTTGGTTGTAGAGATATTGGCAGATACTTTCTGCTAATAAAACTCAAAACCAGATAATGTGACTCTGATGTCCTAATCTGATGTCTTAAATAAACCCTAGTCAGGTGTGGCTGGAAGTAAGCATAACAATGTGGGTGAAACTTATTGAACCTTATTGATCATTTGATCACTGAATTCTGACAGTCTGTGGC